TGTTTTTCATCTGTTAGAATTGTTTCTTAAAAAGATATTCTTATGAAGATTATTTCTAATTCCTAAAACCAACTTGGTCTAACTTCCAAATGCTTGAACTGCTTTCACCCTAATGTTTTTCTAAAACCTGGAATCAATCACATTATATTTGATTTGCCAATTCACTAATTTAAAAAATTGCATGCACAAAGCTTTTCAAATAAGTTTGCTTTTCAAATAAAATTTAGTAATCTTTAGGATTGGAGATGTTGTTCAGTGGTAGAGTGTTTGCCTAAAATGTGTGACTGTGTGATCTCCACACTGAAGAAGGAGGAGGGGAAAAAAATTTAAATTTAAAAAATGAAATTTTAAACAGGATTATTTAAATTTCAAGGTGCCTCTCATAGTGTAGACAGTAGCTATTTCAATTATTTTCTTTATTTTCCACCCCTTTTCCCTTTTTTAACATTGTCAAATTTTAATATTTCTGAATGAAGTCTAACCAATTTGTATTACATAGTATTTGCATGTATGCAAAAAAGAAAAATAAATCTGTCAATGACCCAAATAATCTTGATGATAATCAACAGCAGCAACAAATACAACTGATGAAAAATCTCAATATGCACTCATTTTGGAAGTGAGGCAGCAAATATCAAGTCATTATTAGGAAAAGTGTTGGTTGTAGAAATCATATAAGTTAAAGTTCCAAGCACCATGCTCACTTCCTCAATCCTATAGGTGTTAGTGATTAAGCTAAATAGAACTCAAGTTCCTGGTACTTAGTTTAATGTGATTTTCCATTTTCAGTGTTTTACTTTTTGTAAAAATTCAAACTCAATCTTGTGAAGAAGTCTAGAGTTTCCACTAAATTATATGTGTATTTATAGCACTTTTAAAGTAGAGGATGAGATGCTAAGGCCTGGAGCATCGGCAGTGAAAGCTCATTAGCATCCCCTACAGGATAACCATGTAGCCAAACACAAGTCAAAAATGAGCCCCCACCTTCCCATTCCTCCATCTAACTAACTCCTATAACCTACATTGTCACTCATTCAGAACAGATTTAAGATTAGGAAATACAAGTCGTCGAGGACACACATGAACCATATCACTCCTGACTGCATGACATTTACCCTCTTGCTTTGACTTTTCCTTTCACTCCTCCACAGTAACTGAACCAACTTGTATTTAACATGTATAAGATCCGAAGACCAAGGTCCCAGATTTCTTATACAATTTCCTTCTTGCCAGTTTTCTGCACTGTATTTCTAATACTTTTCAATTATTGTGTATAGGTAATGATTTTTGTACAGATATGTATGTGTGTCTAAGTGAAACACTATACCTCTTTAAGGAATCTCATGATGAAGACCCTTCATAAGGGGATTGTGAAGTTGCTCCCCCTAGGGTTATTTTTATAAAGTCTTGCAAGGGAAATACCTTTCAGAGTGTAATATCAGATAAAATTGTGCTGCTCCTGAATTACCAGAAAGTTTTTATCTTACAATAATCATGAATCCTAATACTATAGATAGCATTACCTTTGTTTTGAATTCTCCTAAAATTAAATTTGTGAACCAGGTATGGTGGCATGTGCCTATAGTTTCAGCCATCAGGCAGCAAGAAACTCACAGGCAGCATGGGCTTAGCAAGATTCAGTCTAATTAATAAATAAATAAATAAATAAATAAATAAATAAATAAATAAATAAATAAATAAATAAATAAATAAATAAATAGCTCAAGGAAGGAAATAGTAGCAAAAATAAGTCAGGAAGAGAGATAGAAGGGAGGGAGAAAGTGGAAAGTAAAAAAAGAAGGGAAAAACTACAGAATGTGAGTTGGTGTGCATGTGTTTGGAGCTCATATGTAGGGGGTATGTATTGGTCACTTGTGGCTATAGTTGTGACAAGCTGAAGCTATGATTGTGTGGGATCATACATCTATTTGGTGACTCATACTCCTCTGAGCTACAGATAGTGGATCCAAGTAAGTATAATTAATTCATATAGCTTTCCTTTATACTTTTTCTGTATCACTAGGACCTAGCATATTTTTCAGGGT